GAGGAGAACTGAGCGATCAGCAGTTATGTGATCTCTGTGTTCTCACCCTTAGAGCCGGCGGGGGACAGATACATTGATGCACAATCTGATTGTACAACCTCCTTTAGATCCTCCAACAACTCTGTAGTGCAAGGGCTTTCCTGATTGGATACAAATTGATTGGATGGATTACGTAATCAATTGTGCAAAGATCGTCTGGCCAGAATGTAATGGGACCGATGTGACTGTACAAGAGATATGTAAAAGATGTGCCTAAATTGTTGGCACTGTAAAAGTACCTGTTATATTAAATAAATATATATGGTGACCCTTTAACCCCTCTGGTCACGTCAAACCCGACTTACAGTGAAGTCGCACAATTTCAAACTTGGGTGAGATGCTGATTTCAGGTGCGATTTGAAAGACATCTGACACAGATGTCTATGCAAATTGCACCAAAAGTACTACTTTAGAAATCGGTGCGGCTCTGACCAAGTCGGAACCACACTGATATGACCGCTGTAATTGCAGACAATAGGGTGAGACTTGGCATGCGATTTTTAAAGTCGCATGACATGCAAATCGCATGCCAATCATATCGGGGACTTAGGCATGTCAGGGAATGTCCAGCTCCAGTAACAAGGTGGCACTTAAAGTGGTTGTAAATGCAGAAGTTTTATTACCTTTTCTATATATGAAGGTAAAAATCTTCTAAGTGCAACTTCCCCCCGCAGCCCCCCTCCTATACTCATCTGAGCCTGATCCCAATCCAACATTGTGCACAAGAGCAGTGGCTCCATGGGGTCTCTGCCTCATCATTGGCTCCTGCTGCTGTCAATCACAACCAGTGAAGACAGATCAGGGGACATGCTCTTGAGTCTTAAGGACACAAAGAAGTGGCTCAAGAGCGAGCACGCATGAGTGCAGTTTGCTCTAGGGGCACTTGGCGGGAAGGAGCCAGGAGCACCAGCGAGGGATCCCAGAAGAGTAGGATTGGGGCGCTCTGTGCAAAACCACTACACAGAGCAGGTAAGTATAACATGTTTGTTATTTTAAAAAAAATAACCTTTAGTACCACGTTTACCGCTTTCCCACCGCTCTATAGCAGATATACTGCTACAGGGCAGCATGGGTGCACACAATCACGTATATATACATGATCTTGCAGTTCCGAGTAGGGAGCATGCACGAGTGCCCTAACTGCACTGCTATTTGCGGCCTCGGCTGTTGCCGAGCATTACCGACGGAGGAGAGACCTATATGTAAACAATACAGAACTCTTCCATGTCAGCTCCTGCACACTGCTTTGGATGGCTCTGCATAGCAATACAATGCAGTGTGCTTACAGTGGAAAGCACACACAGCCCCCATAGTAAAACAGCACACAGTTAACTCAGTTGATCGCCCCACATGTTAACCCCTTGCTGCACAGTGGCATTAGTACAGTGTCAGTGCTTTTTATTAGCACTGATTACTGTATTGGTGTCACTGGGGATGTCAGTGACAACAATTCAGTTCCCCCCCCAGTGTCAGAATGCCCGCCACAGTCCCGCTATAAGTCGCTGATCACCGCCATTAATAAAATAGTTTTTTTTTTCAAAATTGTCGGTCTTTTTTTTTTATAGCCCGAAAAATAACAAATGCAGAGGTGATCAAATACCACCAAAAGAAAGCTCTATTTGTGGGGGAAAAAAAAGGACATAAATTTCATTTGGATGCAGCATTGCATGACCACGCAATTGTCAATTAAAGAAACCCAGCGCCGTAATGCAAAAAAATGGCCGAGGGGGGTAAATCCTCTGCAGGGCGAGGGGTTAAATACCCCCACATCAGGAATTATGTCACAGAACATTATCATATAGTAACCACCAGAGGGCGCATCCATCCAGACAAAGCCTATGGTAAGTATACTTGATTGAAACATAGTATCCACTAGAGGGAGCAAATGAATGAAACACAGTAACAAAACTAAACTAAAGGCAAAACGTTTTTTTTTTTTAGTTTAGGATGGAATGTAAATGGATTAGACCCCCTCGCAGGTTTGTATTGCTGTCTGTGACCCCGTTAGGGAGAGTCACCCTCTTTGTTTGTCTTGTTTATCATTATCATTGAAAGTGAAAGTAAAGAAAACCCCAAAGTTTGGGTTGTCCCAGAAAAAGTAATAGAGGGAAATTTTCCAAAGGGGGACACTATTTCTTAATAATAAACTCAAAAGTAGAAGATCACCTATTTTGCTCCTCCCCCCCCCCCCCCCATATTTGCACCTTTTGGGGGGGAGCGGGTACCTAGTTTTGTGGCAAAGTGAGCCGGACGTTGGGCAGCACAGTGGCTAAATGGTTAGCACTTCCAACTGGCCGTACTACAGTCACCGGTACAAATCCCAATCATGGCACCACCTGCCTGGAGTTTGAATGTTGTGCCTGTGTGTGTTTCCTCTGGGTACTCCAGTTTCCTCCTACACTCCAAAGATATGCTGGTAAGTTAATTGGATCCTGTCTAAATTGGCCCTAGTATGTGTATGTATGAATGTGAGTTAGAGACCTTAGATTGTACACCCCTTGAGGGTTAGGAACTGATGGGAATGTACAATATATATGTGGAGCACTGTGTAAATTGACAGCATTATATAAGTACCCGAAATAATAATAAGTTCAGCCCCCTGCTTCCTCCCGCAGTCTCCTGGGAACTTTCACAGATCCCAGAAGACTGCTGGACCAATCAGGAGATGTGGCACAACTCGCACATGTGCAGTGGACACCAGGCTGTGAAGCCACAAGCTGTCACAGCCTGGTGCCCACAGTTGAGATGCTGTTGCTGTGGAGGAGAGAAGGTACAGCATGGGGTTAGCACATCACTGGATCCTGGGACAGGTGAGTGTGTGTTTATTAACCACTTCCAGTCCGGACACTTTTACCCCCTTCCTGACCAGGGCAATTTTCAGCTTTTAGCGCTATCACACTTTGAATGACAATTGCGCGGTCATGCAACACTGTACCCAAATGAATTTTTTATCATTTTTTTGAGACAGATAAAGCTTTATTTTGGTGGTATTTATTCACCACTGGGATTTGTATTTTTTTTGCTATGTAAATGAAATGTCCAAAAGTTTTGAAAAAAAGTGTTTTTTTAATAAAATTTTGCAAATAAATAATATTTCATCATAAATCTTAGGCAATATTTATTCCGTTATCTTTTTAGTAAAAAAAAAAAAATCCAAATTAGTTTATAATCAAAAATTATAATTTTTAAACATTTTTTTTTACATTTTTATTTCATTTTTTTTATATTGTTATTTATTTTTTTATTTTTTTTTAAATACAGTCACCCTAGCAGTACAGTGCCACCATGGTGACACTGTACTACTTGTGGGGGGTGATGAATTTTTTTTTTTTTTTTTTACACTGATTGCTTTTACACCCATATAGGATGTAAAAGCAATCATTTCTCTTTCTCTCTGGCTGCATTCTTGCACTCATTGAGAAGTACTGAGTGAGCTGTGATTGGTCACAGCTTGTCACATGGTACAAGGCTTTTGTGAATAGCCTTGTACCATGTGACCTCTGTGATCATTCACAGATTTCACACGTAGTAAGCAATGATGTCACAAGTGACATCTTGCTTACTACTTTGCATGTGATCACTGATTGGCCAATCAGTGATCACATGATCGGGACCTCGTACAGAGGTCCCGTCCGACGATCGGTGTTTCACTGTGTCCGGAGGACACAGCGGGCACCGGATCGCGGTGCTGCGCGCTCCCAGGGAGCACGCACAAGCAGGGTGTGGGAAGGCCATTTATAAATGGCCACCCGACCCTGCAGTGCCACCGTCCGGCCGTTTATATGCAACGGCCGGTCGGGAAGTGGTTAAAAGTCAGACGCTACAGTTTTTGTAGTGGTTGCCTTGTAATAAACATAAAAATGGTCGAAACTACACTTTAAGGGAAATTCCCTTAATTTGCGGAGATTATCTCTCACTTCCTGTTTTGGCCATGGGACAGGAAGTGAAGGGAAATCTCCCCAATGGGACACAGATGGCAAAAAAATAAAATGACGGGCTATAACCCTTCCTTACTCCATGTGTGTGGCATTTACGTTCCATGAAATGTTTAGAAACTGGTACTCACTTCCTAAGGCTAGGCTCACATCTGTGCTTGTCAGAAACCCATGCATAGTCGCATGCAGCCGAGATTTTACAAAAAGGATAAGATACTTTTTTTTCCTGCGTGTCCCGCAGGTACAGCAGCCCATTCAAATGAATGGGCTGCTGTGCCAGTGCAAGCATGTGCCACAGTACTTGCAAGTGTGAACCTAGACTTATAGGATGTTGGTGTTGGGCTATGCAATCTTTTATTATCTTTGAGTGATCCTTCTACATTATTATTATAGATTCTTATATAGCGCCGTCAATTTACGCAGCACTTTACACATCTATATTGTACATTCACATCAGTTCCTGCCCTCAAGGAGCTTACAATTATTATTTTTTATACAGGATTTATATAGCGCCAACAGTTTGCTCAGCACTTTACAATATAACGGAAGACAATACAGCAACAATACAGTTCAATACAAGAGGGTTAGGAGGGCCCTGATCTTGGGAGCTTACAATCTAAGAGGGCGGGGCTGGTGGTAGAAAAAGTAATAACTGTGGGGGATGGACTGATAGGAGGAATAGAGGATTCCATTATTAGCTGAAAGTGAGATACCCTTCCCTGAAGAGATAGGTTTTCAGAGATCACCTAAAAGTGGGCAGAGTAGGTGATAGTTGGATAGATTGGGGTAGAGAGTTCTAGAGGATGGGGGAAGCTCTGGAGAAGTCCTGGAGAAGAGCATGGGAGGGGGAGACAAGGGAGCTAGAGAGCAGGAAGTTGTGCGAGGAGCGGAGGACAGACAGTTTGGGTGACATTTGGAGACAAAATTGGTGATGTAATTGGGGGCGGAGTTATAAATGGCTTTATATGTTATTGTTAGTGTTTTGAATTTTATTCCTTGGGCAATGGGAAGCCAGTGGAGGGATTGGCAGAGAGGGGTGTAGGACACTGAGTGGAGACCAGTGGAGGGATTGGCAGAGAGGGGTGGAGGACACTGAGTGGAGGCCAGTGGCGGGATTGGCAGGGAGGGGTGGAGGACACTGAGTGGAGGCCAGTGGAGGGATTGGCAGAGAGGGGTGGAGGACACTGAGTGGAGGCCAGTGGAGGGATTGGCAGAGAGGAATGGAGGACACTGAATGGACACCAGTAGAGGGATTGGCAGAGAGGGGTGGAGGACACTGAGTGGAGGCCAGTGGAGGGATTGGCAGAGAGGGGTGGAGGACACTGAGTGGAGGCCAGTGGAGGGATTGGCAGAGAGGGGTGGAGGACACTGAGTGGAGGCCAGTGGAGGGATTGGCAGAGAGGGGTGGCAGATACAGAACGGTTAGTAAGATGGTTGAGTCTGGCAGCAGCATTCATGGTAGACTGAAGAGGGGATAGCCTGCGATGAGTTCGGCCAATGAGGAGGGATTTAAAATAGTCAAGGTGAGAGATAACCAGGGAGTGAATAAGTTGCTTAGTGGTTTCCGAGGTTAGGAACGGTCGTATCTTGGAGATGTTGCGGAGGTGAAGTCAATCTATGGATATAAATCTACAGGAGACAAGCTCATATATTACGAATGAGAACTGGCAAGTGAAATGATTACAGTAATGCTCGCCATACATTATGCAATTTCCTGCCTTCAACCACACTTATAAGGAAAGACATTTCCTTGATTCCCCCATCAACACAGTCAGTTTCCCCACCATCAGAATACAGTGAGTACTAGTGGCAGCTATAGGAAGTGATTGAATGAAAGTCAATCGATAGATCGATTTCAGTACAGCCAGCCTGCATATAGATCGAAATTTGCCCAGTTCCTGCTGAACTGGTAAAATTTTGAACTGGCCAACTTAAGTCTCTGCCTGTGCTGAAGTGAATGAACATTTACTTTTGATTTAAGTGGACACTATGCACTCTATATATGAGCCCATCTGATTGGGACCTGAAATCCTATTTCTGATAGCACTGGCTGGAACTTTAAAGCGGAGCTCCACCCAAAAGGGGAAGTTCCGCTTTATGGACTGCTCCCTCGCTTCCCATTAAAGGTTGGCACCTTTGGGGAGCGGGTACCCGAATTTGACAGGCAACCCGCTCCCACTTCCGCTGCGATCGCCTAGGTGATCGGAAGCGGAAGGTGTCCTCCCTCCCTGTAGTCTTTTGGGACACATGACAGGTCCCAGAAGACTACAGGACCATTCACATAGCACAGAGCTTCTCGCGCATGAGCAGCAGGTACCCGGCTGTGAAGCTGCAAGCTATCAGAGCCGGGTGCCCACACTGAAGATGCCGGCCTCCTGGAATACAGGACGGCCGGTGAAACGAGCTGCAGGGACACACCGTGGGACCGAGGGACAGGTAAGTGGCTGTTTTTTAAAAGTCAGCAGCTACAGTTTTTGTAGCTGCTGACTTTTATTTTTTGATAGGTTGAGTGGAACGCCGCTTTAAAATCGGACCTTACCGAACTACCTATGTTACAGTTTCAGATAGAAAAAAGTATATATAAAACATATAAAAAAGTACAGCGCTGTACAAAATAAAAGAAAAAAATATGCAGTACAGCAACTGGAATTAAAACCAAAAACTGTGATAAACAAGTGAAATAACAACAGTGCAATCATAGCTGTGTAGCCATATACTATACAAAATGTTCAGTAACGTCCAAATAAAATACTAAAAAATTGGTGGTTAAGTCCCCGGTTACACTGGGTGCAACTTGGCATGCAATTTGCATGCCATGCGACTTGAAAATCGCATGCCAAGTTGCACCCTATTGTCCGCAATTAAAGCGGTCATATCGGTGCGGTTACGACTTGGTCAGAGCTGCACCGATTTCATGCACTACTTTTGGTGCATTTGCACAAACAACTGTGTCAGAGGTCTTGCAAATCGCACTTCAAATTGGCCTGACATCCGACATGATGCAAGTCGCACGATTTTAAAGTCGGGATCGGTGTGACCGGGGCGTACGTCCACAAAATTTGGTGAAAATATGCCATATTAATAGTGAAGCAAATCTACGCAGGTGAAATCTTCACCAGCAACCGAAGGTGTACTCTCACCTTATGGTTTGACTTCTGGGATGAAAGGTCAAACAAGCATGAACAGACAATACTCTACTGTCCTCCCAGTTCTATCCACTAGAGGGGACCAGGTGCACAGATGGCCACATCAAATTGGATCTACTGTATAGCAGTCGTACTTAAAGGCCATGTCCACTAGAGGGCTCCGAGTGGATCGCTTGCAGCCTAGATGCAATTTTTAGTAACAATGGAATGAAGGATTTGTCTCCTTGAGTTTGCTTGTGGAGCAGGCCGGTCAGGTGCATGTATAATTAAAGGATTAAAAAAAAAAAAATGAAAAATGAATAAATGCACATTTTTTTGCAGGTGAAAAAATGTGAATTTCTTATTTTTTTCCCTAAGGAGCCTGCAGAGCATGGCACCAACAATCAGGAGATCACGGGTGCAATGTCCAGCTCCTGCAGACTCTCTGAATACTGTATGCTCATACCTCGTACAAGCAGGAAGATCAATGGACTAAGAGGACCCTCACCAGCGCCCTCGCAACTCATTGAAAACGACAAGCTGTCAGCCGCAAAGGCTGATGGTAGTTGTAGGCATTCTTTCACAGGAATCTGTTGGCTGTGTCGGCAGGGCCCTGCATGGCTGCACTGTTTTCAAATAGTGACAGCAGGTGCAAAGAGAAGATCTCTGACCCACTGTCACATGGAGGTGGAGGCTGCACATGCTGGAACATGTTACATGTTCCACCCTAAAATGGGTGGAACATGTAACATGTTCCAGAAGTGAATTTATCCTTTAGAGCAGGGATCTCCAAACTTTTTAAATAAAAGGCCAGTTTACTGCCCTTAAGACTTTAGAGGGGCCGCACTGTGACCATCAGGAGTAGAAAATGCCCCAGCATCAGTTAGAGTGAACAATGCCCCATTGTTGGTGTCATTGGGAGGAATTGTGCCCCATCATTGGTGTAATTGGGCCCCATTGTTGGTGTCATTGGTGGGAATAGTGCCCCATCACTAGTGTCATTGGTAGGAATAGTGTCCCATCATTGGTATCATTGGTAGGAATTGTGCCCTATCACTGGCTTCATTGGGAGGAATTGTGCACTATCACTGGCTTCATTGGGAGGAATTGTGTCCTATCACTGGCTTCATTGGGAAGAATTGTGTCCTATCACTGGCTTCATTGGGAGGAATTGTGTCCTATCACTGGCTTCATTGGGAGGAATTGTGTCCTATCACTGGCTTCATTGGGAGGAATTGTGCCCCATCACTGGCTTCATTGGGAGGAATTGTGCACTATCACTGGCTTCATTGGGAGGAATTGTGTCCTATCACTGGCTTCATTGGGAAGAATTGTGTCCTATCACTGGCTTCATTGGGAGGAATTGTGTCCTATCACTGGCTTCATTGGGAGGAATTGTGTCCTATCACTGGCTTCATTGGGAGGAATTGTGCCCCATCACTAGCTTCATTGGGAGGAATTGTGCCCCATCACTGGTTTCATTGGGAGGAATTGTGCCCCATCACTGGTTTCATTGGGAGGAATTGTGCCCCATCACTGGCTTCATTGGAAGGAATTGTGCCCCATCACTGGCTTCATTGGAAGAAATTGTGTCCTATCACTGGCTTCATTGGGAGGAATTGTGCCCTATCACTTGCTTCATTGGGAGGAATTGTGTCCTATCACTGGCTTCATTGGGAGGAATTGTGTCCTATCACTGGCTTCATTGGGAGGAATTGTGTCCTATCACTGGCTTCATTGGGAGGAATTGTGCCCTATCACTGGTTTCATTGGGAGGAATTGTGCCCCATCACTGGCTTCATTGGGAGGAATTGTGTCCTATCACTGGTTTCATTGGGAGGAATTGTGCCCCATCACTGGCTTCATTGGGAGGAATTGTGCCCTATCACTGGTTTCATTGGGAGGAATTGTGCCCCATCACTGGTTTCATTGGGTGGAATTGTGCCCTATCACTGGTTTCATTGGGAGGAATTGTGCCCCATCACTGGCTTCATTGGAAGGAATTGTGCCCTATCACTGGCTTCATTGGAAGAAATTGTGTCCTATCACTGGCTTCATTGGGAGGAATTGTACCATATCACTGGTTTCATTGGGAGGAATTGTGCCCTATCACTGGCTTCATTGGAAGGAATTGTGCCCTATCACTGGCTTCATTGGAAGGAATTGTGCCCCATCACTGGCTTCATTGGGAGGAATTGTGCCCCATCACTGGTATCATTGGAAGGAATTGTGCCCAATCATTAGTAGGAATTGTGCCCCATCATTAGTGCCATTGGGCCCCATTGTTGGTGTCATTGGGAGGAACTGTGCCCCATCGTTGGTGTCATATGCAGGAACTGTGCCCCATTATTGGTGTTGGTAAATGAAATAGTGCCCCAAGGGCTGGATAAAAGCAAGCAAAGGGCCGCAGTTTGGAGACCGCTGCTTTAGACCAATCCCACATCTTTCTGCACCGTACCCCTGATGATGTCATACTGACTAAACATGTTGGGCGGATTACAGCGATCCAGGAGAGTGTGATACTGTGAGGGAAGCCTGCATCTGACCCATCTCTGTGCAGTTTTCTTTTTGGGAGAGCGATCCTGGGCTTGCAGTGGTGTATTGGTACACAGTGTTTGTTCATGTTATCTACCTATTCTGTGAGTTCATATTGTACCTGCTTTTCAATAAAATAGTTTTTAACAGTGAGCACTATGAAATGTATATATATTTTTTGAGCTTCTGGTACACACAGCACTGCAGAGATGAGAAGTTTATTTTCGGTGGTTCATTAACCCATGCGGTACTTGGATTTGGAAGAGGTGGGAGAGAGCCTCCATTATTTTTGGGAGTATCCAAGGAGGAATTTGCCTGGATATCTGTCTGGTTATGCTTTCATAATGAAGGTCAAACTATAAGATGTGAGCACACCCTGGGGCGATTGCTGGTGGAGGTGTAGATTTGCTTCACTAATAATTCCCACTTGCCGACCATGTACCTGGTACATCAAGTGGTTGTACGAGGATGATGCCTGCAGCTGCATCACCCCGTTACCGTTTTCTTAGAGCTGATGGTCGGCTCTTGCAATAGCAATTGGAGCGGCTACCTGGCTGTTCGATCGCTATTACAAGCAGCTGGAGTGGACTTAACCCCCCCTGCTGCCTACTTGGAATCTCTCATCCCATCGGGAGACCCAAGCATCCAGTTGGCGCGACTGCTGGTTGTCCTGTGGACAGATTCTCCCACCTGAGCTGTGGATCTCTGCAACTCCTCCAGAGTTCCCATGGCCCTCTTGGCTTCTTCTCTGATGAATGCTCTCCTTGCCCAGCCTATCAGTTTAGATGGACGGCCATGTCTTGGTAGGTTTTTAGTTGTGCCATACGCTTTCCATTTTTGGATGATCGATTGAACAGTGCTCCGTGAGATGTTCAAAGCTTGGGATATTTTTTTATAACCTAACCCTGCTTTAAACGTATCCACAACTTTATCCCTAACCTGTCTGGTGT